GGCTTTTATACTGTACAAACTGTATTTTCTGTCCCTTTACCCTAAACCTACCCCTCACACAAAACTTTTAGATTTTCAAAACACTTCATTCTGGATGATGTGGTGACTTTGTGGCGTGAGCCGAGTGTGGTGTCCCGTACTCAGAATTTGTGCTCTGCATTTCACCCATCCAAGTACACACACACACACACACCGTGAACACACACCCGGAGCAGTGGGCAGCCTGGGGAGCAGTTGGGGGTTCATTTCTTGCTCAAGGGTCTCATCTCAGTCGTGCTATTGAGGCTGGAAGAGAGCGCTGTACATTCACTCCCCCCCACCTCTGTTCATCCAACCATCCATCATTCTATCATCTATCTATCTATCTATCTATCTATCTATCTATCATCTATATGTTGTTCTATCTATCTATCATCTATCTATCATCTATATGTTGTTCTATCTATCTATCTATCTATCTGTCTGTCTGTCTGTCTGTCAGGTGTTTTGTGTGATGATGATGATGATGATGATGATGGAATCTTAATGTTCTTGTCTCATATCGATGGATAGATGGAGTCTGGGGGAAAGCGAGTGAGAGTGACGCTCGACCAACGAGTCTGAAAAATATGGCCTGTAGACTAGAGTTAAACATTCACACTAACAATCTGTGACGCTGCTTTAATTCTCCGGTGAACAGAGGTGTGTGTTTGACAGCAGCATCACAGTAATTCATGTTTATTGGAGTTGGAGCAGATCCTCAGAGGGATCGCTGAACACAGATGGGATGAACAACACATGATCAGAAACACACACAGATCAATGCACAGGGCATACTTCACCCCAAAACCAAAGGAGAAGAAATAGAGAATCATATTTCATACCATCAGTCGCTTTGGATAAAAGCGTCTGCTAAATGACTAAAAAATTAAATAAATAAAAAAAATATATATATTTTGCATATAGAATTTTGGACATTGGGACATTTTTTTCATGCACATTTTCCCATTTTCCTATTTTTCTTCAACACAAAATGAATAAATGAATAAATATATATAAAAAAATAAAAATTGTGAAGTGTTTATAGATTATGGTACTATTTAGATATTTTAAAATCTATTAAATAAATATATTTCTGTTCTATTTCTATATTACAGTTTTTACTACAGGCTTCATTATCATATAATAATAATGCAAAAAATGATGACGTTAAAATCATCCTTCAAAATCAACATTTTTTTTTCAGAAATTAATCATGTGAGATTTACACTTGTAATTGGTCTATATCATCTTGAGATGGTTATGACAAAACAATAAATAAAAAAAAAATGATTATTTTAATCGTTAAGCAGATACATATTTTAGGTGGCTCACAATAACTTAAATAAAAAATAAAAATTGTGAAGTGTTTATAGATTATGGTACTATTTAGATATTTTAAAATCTATTAAATAAATATATTTCTGTTCTATTTCTATATTACAGTTTTTACTACAGGCTTCATTATCATATAATAATAATGCAAAAAATTATGACGTTAAAATCATCCTTCAAAATCAAAATTTTTTTTCCAGAAATTAATCATGTGAGATTTACACTTGTAAATTGGTCTATATCATCTTGAGATGGTTATGACAAAACAATTTTAAAAAAAAATTTGATTAATTTAATCGTTCAGCAGATACATATTTTAGGTGGCTCACAATAACTTAAATAAATGCTAGTAAGACCTGACATTTGACAACACAAATGTCTGTTTGTAGGTCTGATTCTATCTAAGCATAACATCTAAATTATTGAACTGTGTGTTGATATTAACCACCAAATCTATTGTATCCACAAGCTTCAGCGGCCAGTTTGGTCATTTTCTCCACTTTTTAAAAACTACACTGAAAATGTTTTTTGTGTATGTTTAGTCTTGGTTTTCACATTAGAAATTACATTGAATAACATACACAATAACACTGATTTAAACATGAAATTTTGAAGTAGAAAGACTGAAATTGTATGTTCTTGTAAAACATACTTCAGTCATTTTAATCTTGTCTTACTTTTTTTACATTGTACCTGATAATGTTGCATGCAGCTATTCATCAGACTAATGCCTAATATTCATTTTCATTTCAAGTATGTTTATCTAATTTTTCTTCTTTAGATATTTTGCCATGTATGACAGTTTGCAGTGTAAGTGTGTGTGTTTTGCATGAAGCAGCACACGGTTTCATGTTAAGCTCTTTTGTTTTCGTGGTCTTCTGAGATTTAGTGACCTTTTCTCTGCTGTTCGATCATCTGCGGCTCCTGTGGTTGTTTTTCCGCTGCCATCACGTCCCTCTCGCAGGAAACATGTTGCTTTGTTTGTGTGTCCCGCTGATGGGCGGCTCTGCTTCCACGGTCACGTCTGTCCGCTTCACTCTTTGTTTTTCTGTCTCTCTCGTGTCTGCCGTCTGTGCCGGTCGCTGTCTCTGGCTGCTCTTAGACTGAGACAGGACTCTGGTCTCTGTGAAGTTAAAGCCGGTCTCCTGAAGACAGGTTTAGCAGGAGTGTAGAGCAGGTGACGAGCGGCACAGACGGTCTGGGCAATCAAGCGGTTCAATCCGATTTACCTCCATGAAGCCCGTCTGTGAGCGCAATCCTGGCATGTGATGAGAGAGAGAGAGATGGCTTTTGGAACAATTGTGCCACGTGTCGTATCAAAATCATTGTGATTGTTAAAGGAAGAATAACAATCAAAATGGACACTAAATGATAAAAGTAAGACTTCTATCTTATCAGAGAACACGTTCCTTTCTAAAAAAAATAAATAAATAAATGTATTCAAGTTTTAAACATAAATCAAACATTTAATACATGTTTATACTTAAAACAAAACAAAAAATTTGAAAAATAAACTTTATTCCATACATATTCTCTCAAAATAAGTCTTATTATTTCAAGCAGTTTTGCTTTTCGGGTAACTAAGGATGTTTACATATTTTATTGAAACATAAGGACAAAAAGTTAAGGAAAGAAAAATCACAAATCACATTGAAGATCTTGATCGTTTCTTCTAGACAGCAATGAGATTAAATTGAGAGCAAATGGAAATGTTTGAATTCTCCTGCTTCTCAGATGTTTCTCCTCTAATTTCATAATGAGATAATGTTATTATTAAAATAAACCATTAAATGATAATAATTTATCTAATAATAATAGAGTGTATTTTAATATGCATTTTGAATGTAAAGTTGTAAATAAACATCATGATTGTATTTGTTGTACTGAACTTTATTTATTTATTTATGTTAACGTAATTTTGTGCTTAATTACACAAAAAATTTTTTTTTTTGGAGTGAAATAGGATCCATCTTCATAAGATTCAACAATAATTAAACAACAGTAGTCGTCAATAGAAGATCCCCACATGTATTTTAATATGCATTTTGAATGTAAAGTTGTAAATAAACATCATGATTGTATTTGTTGTACTGAACTTTATTTATTTAGTTATGTTAACGTAATTTTGTGCTTAATTATACAAAATTTTTTTTTTTTTGGAGTGAAATAGGATCCATCTTCGTAAGATTCAACAATAATTCAACAACAGTAGCAATAGAAGAAAGATCCCCACATTGATATTAGCATTGTGTGTGTGTGTGTGTGTGTGTGTGTGTGTGTGTTTATATGACAGGTGGTAGAAGGGTTTCTGGGTCAGTAATAAATGCTGAACACATGCTGTTCAGTCGTTCTTTTTTATTTGCTTTATTAGTAATTTAAAAGCGGTTTGAGAAACAGGAGCCTGTGTTCCAGCACCATCTGTGTGTGTGTGTGTGTGTGTGTGTGTGTGTGTGTGCGCGCTTGTGGTGTTTTGCACAATATATGGCTGATAGGAAAATGGCAAAGTGCAATGCATATTTTGCTTGTCAAGTAGACTATTACTTCTGTCATGTAAAGAATTATGTGCAGCTTTCCGTTAATCAAGCATGTCACTCTGTGTGAGAATTTTCTTGACTGAAAACGTCATGCCAGTCTGTCACACAAGATGAATAATGTTTGAATGATAAAAACACTCAGTAACCACAAATTCTTTAAAATATCTTGTTTTTGTTATGTATCTACACTGAAATAAAGTTAAACTGCAAAAAAAGTATTTCTTACTCAATATTTGTGTCTAGTTTTCCTGTACAAAATCAAGGTACACTTACTTTTTCCTGAAACGTGTTAAAATTAAGTGGGTTCAAGCTTAAAACAAAATAAAAAAAATATCTGCCAGTGCGGTAAAAAACAAATAAACAAACAAACTTAATTCAGATGGAAAACAAGTTTATTTTTACCCCATTGGAATTTTTTTTAAAACTTATGTGAATTTTGCTTTTCAAGTAAATGCATCTTGATTTAAGAATGTTTAAATATTTGTCCTGGAAAACAAGACAAAAATACTAAATAAAAAGAAACTGATAGTAAATTTCACAAATAAATACTAAGAAATGGCAGGTAACACATTGAATTAAACATAACATTTTGAAAGTTGGAAGCTTGTTTCCATCATGAAATTAAAAAATTAAATAAAAAAGGTAATGGTGAATTTATATCTCACAATTCATTTTTTTTCTCAGAATTGTGAGTTTATATCTTGTAATTCTGACTTTTTTTCTCAGAATTGTGAGGAAATGCCAGAATTGCAAGATATAAATTCAAAATTACAAGAAAAAAAGTCAGAATTGTTTGATAAAAATTGTGGATATTTTTTTATATTAGTTAATAAAAATACAACTGTTCATTGCTAGTTCATGTAAGCTCAGGTCCATTAAATAATATTAAGATACAACTTTTTCTTTTAATAATGTATAAAGTAAATGTTGAAATGCACATGAAGACTAATATGAAGATTAATAAATGCTTCAGGAGTATTTTTCATAGTTCGAGTTAACTAAGGTAGTTAACAAATGAAACCTTATTATAACGTGTTTTCTTGTAAACATGCTCTAATAATCTTTCTTTGATTTGCAACTTCTAAAAACATCACTTTTTCTCCTGCTGTTCTATTCGACCAGGGCGACTTCGGTCCCACGGCCGACAGCATCGGGGGAATCAGCACCGGGACGCTGGGGACGTCTATGTCCATGGGAATGGGTCTCGGAGTGGGACGGACCGCCATGATCACCAGCGGATCCGCAACTATATCGGGTAAGAAATGTAGGACTGTCTTGAGAAGTTGCAGCTAAAGTATGCAGCTAAACATCATAAAGGTAAATGCAAAATTGCATAACAAAACAAAACTCGTCTTACTTTCTAAATTGTTTCTTTTTTCATCTTTTAAGCATAAATTTAATGAGGTTTATGTTTAAAACGAACAAAAAAATTTACTTTTTTAATGTTTTTTTTTTAATGAAGTCTCCTCTGCTCATCAAGGCTGCATTTATTTGTTCAAAAATACAGGAAAAACAGTAATATTGTAAAATATTATTACAATTTAATAAACTGTTTTCTATGTGAATACATTGTAAAATGCCATTTATTTCTGTGATGCACAGCTGAATTTTCAGCATCATTACTTCAGTCTTCAGTGTCACATGATCTTCAGAAATCATTCTGATTTGCTGCTCAAGAAACATTTCTGATTATTAACAATGTTGAAAGCAGTTGTGCTGCCCAATATTTTTGTGGAAACCATGATGCATTTTATTTTTCAGGATGCTTTGATGAATAGAAATTTTACTGAAAAATAAGGACAAAAATTAGAATTATTTTGTGCCTTTTTTTTCCCATGGAACACATAAGATGTTTATATAATGTCTGCACTGCTCTAGAGGCTGTTGAACTCCAAAAATCAATCAGTCAATCAAATAAATAAATTACAGTCATCTATATGACTCATGCATGTCATATGCAAGTCATAAAACAGAATAAAATTTGTTCATTCTCAAATTTAATTTATGACTTTAAAACTTGCACTTTGCACGATATTTAACTTGATTTGTGAGTGACGTCAAACCTGTTATGCCACATCTTCTGCACCGCATTCAATTTTGCATGAAATTTGCTCTACTTATGTTGATTCTGGTGTAATAATATAGATAAAGAGGAGGTTTGTAACGGAATAGCAGTTGTCATTGTCTCCTGTCTTTTAATTAAATCCTTTTTCTGAATATTTACAGTACAAATTAAGTGTTTACGTATGTCTAATAGTATCCTAATGTGACTACTTGAAAAGCTCTAAAAGTTAATGATTAATTCACTTAAAATATGTTAACGCTTTTTATTTGTAGATGTTGTCTGCATTGTTTAACACTCAGCATGCAAGTTATTCAGATCAGGTAATGCTAAAAAAACACCTGCAAAATTAGTGCTGATCGCAATGTTCTAGGTGCAATGGAAAGGAAAGGACGTGTGGCCAAGTATTGTGTCCCATACTTGGAATTTGTGCTCTGCATTTAACCCATCCAAGTGCACACACACACACACTCAGAGTCATACCCATGTCATTATACAAATTTGTGTCCTCATAAATCACAACCACGAGCGCACACACACACACACACACACAAACACACACACACACACAGCAGTGGGCTGCTGGGAGTTATTCACTCCCTCCACCTACAATCCCTGCCGGACCTGAGACTCGAACGTGCAACCTTGGGGTTACAAGTCCGACCCTCTAACCATTAGGCCACGACCGCCCCAATTAGTGATGAAGCAAACATAGCAATGGATGCAAGGCCAGTAAACCTCAGAGATGTGTGAAAAAAAAAAAGACAAATGAGTCATTTGACCTTCAGAATGTATATTCTTGTTATTTTATTTTCTGGTTATTATTTTTTGTCTCACTTAAGACTTTTTTTATGTTTCTTAAAATACAGCATAAATGTGAGCCTGGAGCACAAAACCCGTCATAAGTAGCACGGGTATATTTGTAGCAATAGCTAACAATACATTGTATGGGTCAAAATTATTGATTTATCTTTTATGCCAAAATCATTAGGATATTAAGTAAAGATCATGTTCCATGAAGATATTTTGTAAATTTCCAACCATAAATATATCAAAACGTAATTTTTTATTAGTAATATGCATTGCTAAGGACTTTATTTGGACATCTTTAAAGGCGATTTTCTCAATATTTAGGTTTTTTTGCACCCTCAGATTCCAGATTTTTAAATAGTTGTGTCTCGGCCAAATATTGTTCTATTCTAACAAACCATACATCAATGGAAAGCTCATTTATTCAGCTTTCAGATGATGTATAAATCTAAATTTCGAAAAATTGACCCTTATGACTGGTTTTGTGCTCCAGGGTCACAAATGATGTGCATTTTCTTGAAATACAGCTCTGTATACTGCTACATTTATTTTTTAAAGGCTAAATAGCAACTGGATAAATTAATTACGATTTAAGTGAATAAGATTTAGGGTTTTCACACTGAATTATGACATTGCTTCATGCATTCTGAATCTTTCCTGTTTGACCCTCCTGCTCTTTTCGCATTTAGGGGCAGGAAAGATGAACCGGTTGCCGCCTAACCTCCTAGACCAGTTCGAGAAACAGCTGCCAGGTCAACAGGACGGCTTCAGCACGTTACAGTTCCATCGAAGCACTGCGGTGACGACGACCAAACAGCAGCAACAGCAGCGGACTGACAGTCCGGGAAAAATACGCTACTTGGTTCACTCCGTCCAGAAACTGTTCGCTAAATCCCATTCGCTGGAAAACTCTGCCATCAAGGGAAACATGAACGGCCGCAACAGCAGATCGTCGAGCAGCGATGACAAACACCATCGGAGCAAAAGCAAAGACCGGGCGAAGAGCGAAGGAACGGCCAAACGGAGGCCACGATCCAATATGTCCGGATACTGGAGTTCTGACGATTTGGACAGTGATGTTAGTAACTATAGGAACCCGATGGCCATGATGACTTTGGGTCGTCAAGCGGTGGGATCCGGACCGGGGCCGGGCGGACAGGTGGCATCCAGGTACTTCATGCAGGGCTACAGCACCATGAGCGAGCACATGCTGAAATCCTCAAAGAGTAACAGTGACCTGAAGCACCAGGGGCTCCCTGCACCCCCGGGACCTGGTGGCGGCAGTGGAGGTGGTGGGGGGGTCGGAGGAGGCCGAGGGCCGATGTTTGATGGGAACTTTGGTAAAGGGGGACCCTGGTCCACGCTTACGTTAGGACCCTCCAGACAGGTGTGCCAGAAGGGCTCGGCCACGCTGGATCGCACCCTGCTGAAGTCCAGATCTGTCCAGCAGGATCTGGGCTGCCACGTCCTGCAGGTGCGCGGGAGGGTGAGTGCATGAATAAAACTCAGTTATTGTGTACTGTATTGCTGTGGTGGAAGCACACTTCAGTGCACAATATGGTCCATTTGAGATGTATACATATGCAGGCGATCTACACATGCACTCTAGAAAGCTTCATCTTTGTGTCTTCTGACCGATAAAAATGTCTTTGTAGTCTTTTAAACCAAAGTTGCGACTCTTGTTGCAGTCTCCGCTATTTGTGACCCTGGACCACAAAACTCGTCATAAGTAGCACGGGTATAAGCAATAGCCAACAATACATTGCATGGGTCAAAATTATCGATTTTTCTTTTATGCCAAAAATCATTAGGATATCAAGTAAAGGTCATGTTCCATGAAGATATTTTGTAAATTTCCTACTGTAAATATATCAAACCTTAATTTTTGATTAGTAATATGCATTGCTAAGGAGTTAATATGGACAACTTTAAAGGCGATTTTCTCAGTATTAAAATTTTTTTTGCACCCTCGGATTCCAGATTTTCAAATAGTTATATCTCAGTCAAATATTGTCCTATCCTAACAAACCATACATCAATGGAAATATTAATTCAGCTTTCAGATGATGTATAACTCTCAATTTCGAAAAATGGACCCTTATGGCTGGTTTTGTGGTCCAGGGTCACATTTTGTTGTTGTTCTGTCTCTTTAGTTTAGTTTTTTACTAGTCTGAAACAAGGGCCCGGGCCAGTGTTGCCATTTTTTGGAACAACCGATTAGTGCAAAATCAATTCAGTGCACATGTGTGACCTGCATGTACAAAGTGCACGTGGTTACAAAAACCGGATGGTGCACGTACAGTATGCGCATACTATACTGGTGATGAAATTTGAATCACACGCACTGTACGCAGACCCTCACATACACGTAAAAACCAAAGTATACTTTGGCCTTAAAGTATACTGCAGTTTTAAGACAAACTCTTAAGACCTTGATATACTCACAGCACAGTTCTTTTTCATTCTTCGCTCATGAGTAAAAAGAAGTTTACTCAAATGCGCCACTCCACCCATGGCTTAAGATAAATATATAAATATGTGTTTTGCACTTTACTCTCAATAACAAAATAAACACAAGAGAAATGACAGCGGTGAGAAAACAGCAGTTAAGAAAGCATCATGGTCATAGTGTTGTGGGTGTTTGCACGAGCTCTGCAATTCGGCACTCAAGTAAAGTCACATCATGTTTATTTATGTAGCACTTTATACAATAGATTGATTTAAAGAAAGGAGCTTTACAGTAATAAACATGAAAAAACAGTGTCTGTGTTGCTTTCAAATAGAACTTTACAGTGGTGGCCAACATTGTTAGAACATCTGACAGATCTGAAAACAGCCTCCAAAACATGATTTCATTTCATAATGTTCATGAAACATGCAGATGGTTTCTCTGAGCACAACAAATATCAAATGAAGTGAGTCGTACTGTTTTTATCCACTTTTAACTTTAATATTTGGTATGTCCACCTTTTGCAGCAATTACAGCAGCACATCTCTCTGGCATAGTGTCAATATATTTCCTGAGAACTTCAACACTAATGTTATCCCATGCCTTCTGCAACTCGAGCCAAAGGCTTTCCTTTGAATGTACAACCGATCTGTCCAGTTTATTTTCCAACTCGCCCCAAATTTGCTCGATGGGGTTGAGGGGGCCAGTCCATCATCTTCAATGTTCCAGCAGATTCCTCCCGTCGCACATAGTTCCGGCAATAGTTAGTTTTATGGGTATTGTAATGGCCAATTCAACAAAAGCAACTGAAACCTCTTAAATATGCCAAGTGTTCTAACAATTTTGGCCAGCACTGTAATTTCTACTGTAAAGCAGCTCTCCAGAGTGTTCATGTTTTTAATTGCGTCTCACCTCGACAAACTGAACAGAAGAAATGAACCAGAGAAGATTTCCACGTCAAAGCCACACCTACCTTTTACATAATCGCCATGTGCCAATGGTAATGCCAGTGTTTCCCAGCCTAAGTGAAATTTTCTAGAAAGTTCACTTTGGCAAGTAATTTTTAAGACCCAAAAATGAATTCTGAATGAACTTCATTTTGGCCTGGTTTTGTTCTAAATGACATCACACCAGTTTGTTTTTCAGTTTAGCTTAAAGTGTATCTGGGTCTTTAAGCCTTGTTTAAACTGTCAGTCCAAATCTGTGCTAATCCGATGGGAATCCGATCATATTTAGTGTGAACAGCAAAAAATCACATGAAATACGATGCAAAATTTCAAGCATCTTTCATACGTGGTTTGAAATCCTTTTCAAATCACATTTCTGGAAATCAGTTTCAGTCTGACCACTCTGATTGGAATTTGCATAGCTTTTTCATATGCATATATTCATACATACTGTACATACAGATACATACATCTCATGTATGTATACATGATATCACACATTTGATCCCACATTATAATGGTGTGTTTTATTTGTTTCATGTGATGTTTATTAGGGGCTAAATCTGAAATGAGAACACAAAAATAGACCACGACATGACCATCAAGTACAGTAGTTTAGGTCATGTACAGAATACACAGAAGAAAATGTATCTTCTTTTCTAATATTTTTGTCTTGTTTTTCATTACAAATATCTAGACCAAGACATATAAGAAGATATTTAAGATATAAGAAGCAAAATGACAAGATATTATTAAGTCTCGTTCTCTGATGTAAACATGTTTCCATTTGAATTAAGTTTATATTTCTGATCCCACTGGAAGATATTTTTTCTTGATTTAAGCACAAACTCAGAGTTTTCAGAAGTCATGTCTTGTTGTGTCGTTTTGCTTGTGTCTTGATTTAACAATGTTTGTACTAGACTTTTTTCTACTAGATTTTTGAAATGCTCTTCACACTAAGAAAAGGTTCACTAAAAGGTTCTTTGGGGAACCAAAATTGGTTCTTCAATGGCATCACTGAGAAAAAAAACCCATTTTGACACCTTTATTTTTAAGTTTGTGGTCTGGAAATCAGAAGGGCAGTGAATGTGCATCTGCAGTGTCTGTCTGATGTTTGTTCAGATGCCCTCCACCGACTGGATGGGGACTCTGGGCCGAAGCGGGCCCATGGGCGAGATCCCCTGTAGACGGATGCACGAGTCGTTTACGAATCATTTAGAAATTAGGTAAAATTAAATCTGTTTTTTGAGAAAACTAACGTGTTTTTTGACCTTGCATGCACACTGTAAAATGGTGGTGATGAGAAAGTCACATGATGAACCAAAGCTCATCACAAAACAGCTTTTCTACGAGCTGCGGAGGGCAATACTTTTATATAGACGGTGCACAGTGTCACTCACACAAACACTAAACCCCATCATGGTGACACACGATACTAAAATAATGCAATAAACATTAATTTAACAACATTAGATGTAAGATTAAACCCTAACACATGATGAACCAAAGCCCATCACAAGCAGCTTTTAAATGTTATATTTTTAAATATATAGAAGGTGCACAGTGTCATTCACACAAACACTAAATACCATCATGGTAACACACATGATGCTGAAATAATGCAATAAACATTCATTTAACAACATTAGATGTAAGATTAAACACTATTGTACACAACTGATAAGAAAAACTAAGAAAGAAACATGTTATTTCAACAAAAAAACATCAAATTTGAAGGGTCTTCCAGGGAATTCTGGGAGTGTCAAATTACGGTTTTTCACTGTAAATTATACAATGACTTTTTCTTTTTCGCTTCCAAAAAACATATTTTTAACAGTATTTTACTGTGAAATCACATTAAATGTAATTAAATTTATTCACCGAATATAGTATGGAAACTTACTGTTAACCAGTTAACAGGTTTTTACTGTAGCAGTGAGGGCTCACGGAAAGGAGGGGTTACGAGAGACTGATTCTTTGAACTGCTTCGCAAGAGTCGTTTACCAATCATTTAGAAATTAGGTAAAATTAAATCATTTTTTTGAGAAAACTAACATGTTTTTTTGACCTTGCATGCATGTAAACCTGTTTTAGGAGACTCATAAAACAATATTAGCAACCTTAAAAATGGCATAATATGGGCATTTTAAAACAAAGCTCTATATGCACAACCGCAGTGACCTGTTTCTGTGCAGAAGGCTGGAGATACATTAGGGTACAAACACAGAAACACACACTGGTGGTCTGTCACGACGCCAGAGACCCCGTCTGAGGTGTGAGCTCTATTATGTCATGCCTTCTGGATCAGGATGAGTTTATCGGTGTTGATATGCATCAGAATCCAGCTGTGCTTGTTCATCTGCTAGATTAAGCACAGCTGGTCTTTCTCCCCTGCATATGCTGAGCCTCGCACCAGCTTTCTGCTGCTCACATGTAAAGAAAGCACATCTTATACTCTTGAACAGTTGCTATTTTGCCCAGTTTGTGGACATGAAATGTGCATTTGTATTATCAATCAATTGTGATTTTTTCAACAGGTATCTGGTACAGATCAGATTGTGTTATATAATTGCAAAAACACACAAAAAAGTTGCATTTGCATCCAATTTGTTGTACTTTTAAATGTGCTTCTAAATCAAATCTGACGTCATCAGTGAAGTCTCATTCAAACAGTAATGGTGTTTAGTAAAAATGGCAAAGTATTTGTTACATTTGTTGTGCTGCCTTTTGTTTTTGCTGATTTAAATAAAATGATTGTGTCTGGTCAGAATGAATCTCATTACTTTATTACAGTGCAGTATTATTTTAGTAAAACTAAATATTTACTACTACATTATTTATATATGCATTTTCAGTTTTCATTTTAATAATAGTGTAGGTTTTAATTATTTTATGTGCTTTATGTGTCATTTTTCATCATTTATTTTCATTATTCATTTGTTTCATTTTTAGTCATTTTAGTACTTAAACTTATTCATTTAAGTTAGTTGCCAAGTCCATATTTCTAACAATGTTTCTTTAACAATAATAAAACACTAAACCACCCTACAAATAAGCCTGATTTTTTTTAGTGCAGTTTCATATATTATTCTTTTGGTTTAGTGAAGAAATATGGCATGGACGTGTTTTCTTCAGATTGACCCTAACACTTTCCTCTCCTAACCCTGATTGTTTAGACTATATATGTTCACAATGGTATACTCGCTTATTGCTTACTGAATACAGTGCAGTATACACTATTTTCTGATTAATAGAAAGATTTATTAATAGAAAATGAAACATGGAAATTTGTTATTAAACTTAAAAAAAAAATTAAACACAATACTAAGAATATTGTTGTCACATGATGGTACATGCGAGTAGCATGTAATTAATTTTTGTGTGATTCAAAAAAGAGATTTTTTAAAAATCACTGCTGCTTCAGAACATTTGCATTTTGTGCACAGTATACTTGTGCTGAAATAGTAAAAGCAGTATGTTAGGATGCTGTTCTGAACATAGCGTTTTTCTCTCGCTGGTGTGTGTTCTTCAACATTTATAAGTTTCCCTTCTTTAATGACTCGAACGTCTTGGTTTGAAGCCCCGCCTCTTCTGTTTTAAGCACCTCCCTCTTTCTGCACTGTAAGCTCCTCCCCGTCTCACCTGTAACCCTGCCTTCTCTCCAGCCGTCTGCTGGACTACTCGATGCTGCAGGGGGATCTGGAGGCTCTCTGGTCCCCCCTCCACAGCATCAGCACCCTGCAGCAGATCGGACGCTCTGTCAGGTCAGTGCAGTGAGGAGAAATCTGGCCGACCGACCGCAGCTCCTCACTGACCGCACAAAGGAGTCGTCGCACCTGCGCTGCTTTCCTCAACTCCTCTCAAATTAGGAGTGCTGATTGAAAATCGGTTTTTATTGGCCCTGAAACAGTTCTCCTACTCTGAGATGTTTAGTCTGAGGTGGTTTTCTCCATACAGCACAGATCTGATGTTTGGGTTTTGCTTGCATTTCATCATTGCAGACAAGTGGATTGTGATTGGAGAGAGAGAAAGCCTCCTCAGCGCTTGTTATGCTCACCCTAACTGCTATAAGAGCTCTGATTGGACGCTGAATGGAAACGGTACTTTGCTGATTGGTCGTTAGCTGTGCTGCTTCAGTCTGATTGGATAGTCAAACTGTTTGAGGAGATTGTGTTTTTCATTTTAGAGCAGCAATTTTCAGATCTCCTGTGTTCTCCAGACTAATGACACAAATCAGTTATGATGACGGATGGATGATGGAAAGATGGATAGATTCATTTCTGAACAAAAACTGGAAAGATAATACATTTCCTAATAAGTAAATGTTTCTTCAGTAGTTTTGTTGCAGCTTTACCATTTCCATTTGCTTTATGTGCAGTAGACCAGGGGTTTTCAATCTTATAGATGCCACGGACCCCCCAAATATGATCAATATGAAAAAGGCATAGAGTTTTTTATATGAAGACCCAATTTATACTGTGAAAAATTAATATCGTAATCATAATAATTTTTTTCCTACTGATTATAGTACTGTACTGTTAGATGTATTATTTATTCATTTATTTATTTTAATTTAATTTCTGTTTATTTCATTAAATCTAATTTTTTTTATTTGATCCTATTTTTTATTTGTTTATTTAAAGCTGATTTTATTTATTTGTTTATTTACATCTTATTTTTTATTTGTTTTAATATTTTTAATCTTGTATTTATATTTTTATGTTTATATTTAAAATATATTATATTATATTTACACTGTTTTCTCTTTTATTGATTTCTTTTTTTTAATTTAATATTTGTAATTTTATTTTAAATTTTCCCTAAATTGTTTACAATTTTTTTATATTATTAATTTAATCTGTATTTTATAAATTTCATTAATTCGTTAAAACTAATTTTATTTATTTATTTTCATCTTATTAATGTATTTTTTTAAATCTTGCATTTGTGTTTAATTTATTTGGTTTATCTTTTATTCCATTTACTTCTATTTATTCATTTTTACACTTTGTTTTACCATAAACATTTTCACTGACCCATTTTCACTCCCTTGTGGCCCCTGGGGGTCCCCGGGCCCCAGTTTGAAAACCCCTGCAGTAGCCTATAGAGCTGCTTGAGCTGCTTGTGGCCTTTCTCTCATCTCCTGCCTCTTCTCTTCTCTCTGTGACCCCTGTCCCCTTCCTGTCCTCAGCTGTCTTCCTTCTCTGCGAGAGTACTCTGGGAATCGCAGTCTGGATAACCTGGACTGCATCGGAGGCAGTTCTCCGTTCCCAAACTGGGATGATGACGACTTCAGTCAGGGCTGCAGCACGCTGGGACGCGGCAGCTGCATCAGTCAGGTCAGACCCCTCATGACCTTTGAGTTCATTATAGGACACGGCCGACAGATGAGGATGAAGATGCATAATATGCATTGAATATAATGACATAGTCTTTCTGATAAATAACTTAAGAAATGGGCTGATGTATCAGTGTGTCACTCATGACCTTTGAGATTATACATGATCCATTACAGCTCACAGAGCTTAGAGAAATGCATCAGCTCAAAGACTAATTAGTAATTAAACTGACATGCTTTGCTCAGGTTGCACATTTCCTGTATGAGTGCATTAATGCAGTTTTATCATTTGATCAAAAATACAATAAAAACAGTAAAATTGTGAAATATTATTACAATTTAAATTCACGGTTTTCTATGTAAATATATGGCAAAATGTCATTTATTCCTGTGATCAAAGCTGCATTTTCAGCATCATTAGTCATCAGTGATCCTTCAGAAATTATTCTAATATGCTGATCTGCTGCTCAATTTTTGATAATGATGAATAGAAAGTTAATTTGATTTAAAATACATGTAAAAGTTTAATTTGAAATAGTTTTCCGTGACATTCTAAATGTCTTTACTGTCATATTTGTCACTTTATTGTAACAATTTAATGCATACTTGCTGATTAATAGTATTAATTTATTTTCTTTCTTTTGAAAGGTAGTGTATCACGGTTTCTATGCTTTCAACATTGATAATAATCAGAAATGTTTCTTAATTAAGCAGCAAATCAGCATATTAGAATGATTTCTGAAGATCATGTGACACTGAAGACTGGAGTAATGATGCTGAAAATTCAGATTTGATCACAGAAATTAATTACATTTTACAATATATTTGCATAGAAAACAGTGAATTTAAATTGTAATAATATTTCACAATTTTACTGTTTTTATTGTATTTTTGATCAAATGAATGTAGCCCTGGTGAGCATAAAAGTCCAAACTTTTGGCCACCAGGGTAGTAATCATTGATTGTTGGGTAAAAATGTTTCAACAACTGGCAGTGTGTATATAATGCATAGTGCGCAGTATTCAGTAAAGTCATTCTGAACGCAGCCATGCACCCGTCACTGTTCTTTCTCAATCATGCCAGCCCACATCAGCCGTCGCTCTGTCAGCAGGTGCGAGACATGGAGCTGAGTCAGCATTATGGAGACGAGCTGGAGGACATGCATCCTCACTCCCGCTGCAGCGAGCCTCCTGACATGCCCATGCCCACATGCTTCCGCTCCCGCAGCCATAGTTACCTTCGCGCCATTCAGGCCGGCTGTTCTCAAGACGACGACACGGCCTCGATGGACTCTGATTCACCGCCGCCCATGACCACAACGACCGTACGCACCTACAGCAACAGCACCGGTGAGTACAGACCAGCAGAGCCAGTCTGACCAGTGCTCAGAGAATAACGAGAACAAAACATCTCTGGTGTGTTTCTGCTACAAAAACATTTAAAACAGAAATGCATATCAAGGTTTGATGGTGTTGCTCATTGTCCTGTCCAAAAAGAGTTTGTTTCCTCAACAGTCATGCTGTTGATCTAATGACACAAAATAAACTGAAGTGCAATAAAGTTCAAAAGTCAGTCATTCAAAAGTTTATATTTTAAGCATTTTTATTTTTATTATTTACATGCCCAGTATTTATACTGTAGATGTAGGGAACTAATTCCTTTTCACTCAAGTGAATATTTCTAATATTAATTTCTAGATACACACAAACTGTAGAGCACAAAAAAAAAACATTTTCATTGCTGTTGCCCAGAATAAAGAAAACACTGAACACCTTTTGTGACAACTTGTTGATTTATTTCCTTGGTTTTATTATTATTATGAATATTATTATTTATTTATTTAATGAATTTCTTTATTTTTATTTTTTACAAGAGGCGCTGCCTCCCTTGACCCCTTGGACATATAATTTATAATTGCTGTGTGTTTTTGTTGTGGTGATAATTATTATCCTCCTTTTTTTTTTTGCTGTTTCTTTTTAATTTACTCATGCACAATTATATATACAAATATTTTATTTGTTTTATTTTATGTTATTTTATTTGTATTATTATTTTTTTTTCTGCAAATAATTTGACAAAACAGTAGTTTTTTTCTTTGCAAATTCCTGCATAGCCTACTTGAGAACAGAGAGAGAGACCCGCCCCCTCTCCATTTCATTCACTACTATCCTCAGAAGGGGCGGGCCCTAGTATTCGCGTCACACACTTAAGTGGGGCGTATCTATCGGTCTGTTGTCCAATCGCTTGCACGCAAAACAGTGACCGACAGCTCGTTTGTCCAGTAATGATTTCCGACGCGTTGTTTCCTACAACAATACTCCGCTGCATGTCACTAAGGCGTTTCCACACGGTTCTTTCTTTCCGCGACGTGGACGCTCTCATGATGATGGTGATGATGTTGCGTTAATATAGATGTCATTATATGAGCGAAACAGCGACGAGTTGAGCATCATTTCCAGCGCGAGAGCAGGTGAGAATCAGATATTGCTGTTCATGTGATGCGGACCGACATTAACGCACGTTTATCATTTATACACACACACACACACACATACACACACGTGTGGATTTTGCTTTAGAATTGTGTTCTTAAAGATGGCAAACGTCTTTTTAAAAGATATTTCATGTCTGGTGATTGTATTGATTGGCTATAATAATAATAAGTGTTATTTAAATTAATCATAATATTTTATTGTGATGGTTTATAATGACTTATTTCTGAGTTATTATACAGGCTGATTATTATAGTTTTTTATTTTTTTTTGAAAGACAATTTATGTATGACACACACTTATACACTCTCATTCTCACACACACACCCTATAAATGCAGCTCAATGATCCCAAAACAGTTGTCATGTCAGTTTCCATGGGGAAGTATCATCTGCAGTGTGACTTCTGTAGGGCAGCTAAACTTGACCGCCCTGTCAGACAGGAGCATTCACTGTGTTTATGATTACAGCATGAGGAGGTTTTACATTACACACATCGCTCTGGTTAAAGGTGTCACTTAGCATTTAATTGCTGTGCATTGCTCTGAAACAGGTTCATTCATCTGATAACAGGCCTTAGAGAAAATTATAGTTTGTGTGTTATAGACACAGTCTGATGGAGAGGCTTCTGTTAGTTTATGCACTCATATTTCTTTCAGATGTTTTTTCTGTGAAGAGTTAAGCGCTCTCTTGATGTCTGGCTCTTGTATAATGTTTTGTATTGCGCTTCCGGAAGTGCTGTATTAAGCGACAAAAGACATTCAGAGTGAGTTTTGTCTGTGCAGTGGCTTGGATAAATAGGCCAACTCCCAGGATGTTTGTACTGAAACAATATAACAATGCATCTAGTTTTTTCCACAATGACCGACTTGCATGGAGCATATTTCACCTGAATCATGGCATGGAGCTTAACATGTTAATGTCATATTTGCCTTATGGTTTCTGAATGAATGTTTATGTAGATATGATTTCTGTAGCTGCAATTCCAGGTTGTAATCTTTGTGTTGAAGTCAACATGAAATCAAAACCATCCTTACTGTTGACTTTAAGCGCACAAAAGCACATTATCTGCTGCTTGATCTGATTGTTTATGACTTCAAAACGGTGGATAGTATGATCTCCTCTCATGGAAATCTAGAGGCTTTGTTTGCATGGCTGCTGTTGCTATAGTTCTTCTCTTTGGGGTTTTACAGCATTTAAACATCAGCAGCGTTTAGAAGTATCTGACACATGCTGCTTTCTTGGAAAGTGTCTCAAGAAACGCTGGGAGGAAAATAAGCTCATTTTAAGGAGTAGTTCACCGCAAAATGAAGATTCTGTCATTATTTGCTCATCCTCATGACATTCTAAATCCGTACCGCTATTTTCTGTGCCTTATGAAAAGGGAAAAACTTCACAGCAGCCTTTGTAAAATAAACAGTTTTTAGATAAATCAAACCTTTAAAGGGATAGTTCACCTAAAAATGTCCTTCATCATTTACTCACCCTCACGTTTTTCCAAAACATAAACTTAAAAGAAGACATTTTGTAGATATTTTGCTGGGGCATACAATGGAAGTCAACAAGGAAATTCATACAGTTTTGGATCAACATGAGTGTGATTAAATGATGACAAAATTTTCATTTTTGGGTGAACTATTCCATTAACCTCTCATAATCTTTTAGGCGTAGTATTCTACTAATATGTCGACTAGGTTTTAAGGCTGTTTCTGAGGTGAGGAACACACACATAGATGAACCGTCAACGCAATAAACTAAGTGTCAGCAGCAGAAAAGCCTGTAATTAGGGCTTTTATTAGTTATACAACCTTCATCACACCCAGAATTAGTGAATTTACTAACACACCCATGTCCTAGAATGTAAAATGGCAAAATAATGTGAGATTTCTCAGGTCAGAAGGTTTGGGATTTCCATTTGCTCGTTTTTGCTTCAGTTATTGGTAACCTCAAGGAGGTTATAAATGCTTTATGAAAGAGTTTTAGACCACAGAAAGCTGGATGAAGCGCCGTTCCTGTTGCTAATCATTTGATTAGTTCAAATTCTTGCCTGGATTATGGGAATAAATGCATTTAATGTGTATTGGGTTTATTAAGCTAACTCTTCCAAATCCACATAATGACCCAATCCTTACAGATTCCAGTGGCGTTGGTCACCACATCGCTCTGATTTAGAGCTCATATTCCACTTGAGTAAGCAACTAAAACAATGACCCTGATTGTCATTTGTGCGTTTTTACATCAGCTGCATTTATTACCTTTATTCTACACAAAGCTTCTTATTTCTGTCTTACAGGATTTGTGTTGTTTGCTGCTGTATTATTAGTCAGGATTTTCCCTAATTATTTCCAAAGAAAAGTAAAAGCATCTATAATATTTTTCAGCAAAACATAACAAGCTCATTTGGAGAGATTGTTTTGAGGAATAGATGTCATAATGCATTACGGATTAAAAAATAAATAAATTCCCTTCACAAAGACCATGTTTGATCTAGTTTCATTGTACAGTAAAATAAAATAATGGAAGTGAACTGAGCTACATCAACGTTTAAAGTCTTTCTGATGTGGCATTCAGTTTGCATTGAACAAACCTCCGAAGAAGTAGAAGCTCTGCGGCTATAGAGGTTATTAATGCCAAGATGCTGCATTAGCAGTGGATGCTTATTACCACAATGCATCTGCCATATTGGAAAGGTCAAGATCCATGAACATGAATTAACAGCAACAGTCCCGTGCATCAGATTTTCATAAGATTTGGTTTGTCATAAACGTCACACAGTTCTGCATATTGAAAAGTCATGCAAAATCAAACGAGAGTTGGTGAAACGCTCTAGTAAAATAATATGGTGAAAACCTTGACATCATAACTAAACTAAGCATGCTTATGAGGTCACATGACTGTCCCAAACATGACCTCCCCAACAATAGGCTTGGTCTAGACCTGGAATGTGACTGAGAGGAATTCTGCAGCATGTGTGTCACAGACATGAGCGGAATGTTGGCGTGATGATGTCACAGTGGTGTTTTGTCTTCTGGCGCTGTGCAACAGTAAGAATCACTTCTGAATCACATACTGATATTGGCGTCATCTGATTCACACTGCCTTCACTTTGACAGGATTTATGTAATTACAAGATGACTAACATGAGCTGCTCACATCCTCAGACTCGTTTCTATGGCAATGTTCATCATAATAACACTAAAATGAGTCATGTGTGGCTTTATTGATGACAGCGGAACACTTAAAGATACTTAAAGCAAAATACTAAAGAAGACGTGCATCAGGTTACTGGCTAAACATTTATTTACATACATACGTACACTATCTATCTGTCTATCTATCTATCGATCTATCTATCTATCTATCTATCTGTCTGTCTGTCTGTCTGTTGTTCTATATCTATCTATCTATCTATCAACACATTATTATCATTATAAGTAAGCACATTTTCCAAAAAAAAACTAAACAAAAACATTATTAATGCACTCGGATGTTTTACTTTTAAACTTTTTTGTAATTGTCCTTATGCTCAGTGTTCATTGTTTTATATTCTCATAAATAAAAATTATTTTATTTTATTTATGTGATTTTATTTCATTTTAAAAGTTTGACAAAGATTTATTTCTCGTCCGAAACTTTGACATAACACAGCACAAGAGGAATTAGTACACTGAAAAAAAAAGATTAATTGAATTACAATTTTTTTTTTTTTAGGTAAGTGGTTGCAATCAATTTATTTTAGCTACATTTAAATAAACAAATTTCGTTGACTAACTTTCAACATTTTTTTTTTTAATTAAATGTAGTTAAAATAAATTGTTTGCAACCACTTACCAAAAAAAAAAAATTAGTATAATTTTTTTCAGTGTAATGGCTAATGGGATCGATCTGCACGTCCTAATTGAAAACTATCATCATAGAGAGCTTTCCATCCAAAGTTTAAAGTGATTTCTACTTAATGCACTTAAGGAAAGTAGTATTTGCTTTTAGAATAAGGTTTTGAGAACCGGTCATTAACAAGACCCTCTCCGCTTTAGAGTTGTTCAGCGAGTTATTAACATTCCCTCATGGCTCAGTAAATGTCTCGTTTCATTCGCACAAGCAAGCCTCTGCTCTTCAGAAACCCGGGATTTCTAGCCTAATGAATGATTTATGCAGAAGCGTAGAGTCTTTCCACAGGCGATCTAGGATGCTGACACAGACATTACAGCAGCTGCTCCAAACAGACCCGTAAAAATACACCAGCTGCATCTAATGCCGATTTCATAATGGCCCTCTTACTGTTGAATTCCAGCGAATGAAACCTTTCTGAACTGCTCTTTCAGACAGTCTGTGAAGGCGCAGATGTGAATACCGAAGAGAACGAAGGATTATTGCGATCATGGCCACACCTGAATGATAAAGTCAGACTGGATGGCTCACACACACCACACCAGTGTTGACTCAGCTAATGGCACAGTCGCTTCACTATTTAAGATGTGAAGGCAACACTATAAAGAGAGTTTTAGTTGTGTGAATGGAAATTTGCTGGATTTTAAGGTGTTTGTCTCTAAAGGCTGAAAAGCAGATTTAACCTTCACAACAAAAACGTAGGAATTGACGCTGCTTTGTAACGTCTGGATGACAGAGATCTTTTGAGACCAGATCAAATCTGATATTGAGTAAGTTTGAGGAATCCAGCTCTTAGATATTAAGGCATGCAAACAGATATTTGTTGGTGGCCTTTAGCTAGTCATGTTACATTCCCGCCTTAATCACAAACATACATCTACCAATCAATGTTTGCAGAAGATCTCTCCACCTGACGATTTATAAATATGATATGTATGTTTAGAGAACACGTCTGTCATTTGCTTTTCGCTTTGCAAGTGATTTATTGTCCTCTGCTTTTCTGTGTCATCAAATAGTGCTGAACATTTATGCTGCTTCCTGATTCACATACTGTCCATCCTAAATAGTAGTGCTGGGCGGTATACCGGTTCATACCGAATACCGGTGTTTATTTTTGTTATGATATGAATTTTTAAAATACCGCAATACCGGTGTATGTCGCTTAAACAACGTTGGGTATTAAAAGGGGTCGTGTTTAGTCACTATTTAGTGTGGTATTTTTTGACAATATTCACTCATCATGACAGTAAAATAGGGCATTCTAAGTCAATATACTGCAGTATTTCCTCTCTCAATCAGTTGAAAATATGGTTAACACCCGGACATGCATGAAAAAAAAAATATCGTCATGTACCGTGAAACCGGTATAATTTTGAAAAATACCGTGGCATAAATTTTTGGTCATACCGCCCAGCACTACTAAATTGTATTCAAAATTAGAATTAAGTGCAGATCCATGCGCACTCTAATGGCTAATATTGCCCACAATCCATTGCACATAGGACGAGAATTCAATTAGAACTACAAACACAAATAAAAAGTGTTAAGAACTACAAATATGGCAGACATCCAGGTGGATGCTGCACACTGGTGGTGGTTGAGGAGATTCCCCCTTTCTATGTAAAGCGCTTTGAGTGCCCAGAAAAGCGCTATATAAATGTAAGGAATTATTATTATTATTAGATATGTGAGGCCGATGGTTAAACAGAGGTTTAGATGAAGGGGTTTGAGTGATCAATAATCAGTATCTAAAGTGGCCGTGTAAATGGTGAAGATGCAATTATGGCGAAGTATTACAGTATGTCCCAAAGCTTGCCTACTATACAGTAAACACTCAGAAGTATGTACTTTTTCTGCGCAAAGAGTACATACTTTTAGGGCGTAATAGAAGTAAGCGAATTGGGATGCAGCAGTTGCATTTAACATAATTTTGTCCAAAGCAGAGAAAAACAATTGCCAGTCACAAGTTTACCTCTGTAATTTGCGTCAGTTCAGAGTGATTATTCAAAATTGGTTTCATTGGGAAATGATTAACGTGAGGCTCACAGAATGCACATAAAACTATATTAATAATTGGCATTTGGTTAAAATGATCCAATAACCCACTAGGCATATGTAACAAACAGAAGCAGAAAGTTGTTTTAGAGGGAGCGTGTGTTATTTTGATTAGAGATTCTTTAGAAGAACTTGCCCTGATGATTCATTCGCAGAAACACCAAGTTGCATCTCTAAATTTATCTCCTTTAACGCAGTAAATAAACAAGCCGACCTGAGCAATCGACTAGCCAACCGTCTTCCCCTTCATACAATCAGGAACTGAACATGAACGCACGCATGTAGATCAGCTTTTGTCCGTATGTTTGCGAATGTCTTTGAGAGTTTGCGCTGGGTTTTATGAGCTGTCGTGAGAGCTCGTTTAACATGTACAGCTGCACTAAATGTGTTTGGAGTCTCAGTATGGCTTTGTCATTTTAAGAAAGGAACGTTTTTAAGAATATTATTTTTGTGTCTAGAGTTTCTGCATAATGTTTGAGTATGAAACATGCATGCGGCTCTGACGCTCAGATTTACAGCACACACGGGATTCCTGTGGGCTTGTTATGTTTGCCATCGTTTCCGTCTGCCAACTCCACCCGAGTGCTGCTGCGGCGCTGTGAACTCACACTGAGACACACACACACACACTGGGGTTACAATGGGCATATATTTGGCAAAATAAAATCTTTCTCTTCTCTGCATTTCTCCTCTTCTTTAGCTTGCTTCCTAATCTGGTTATCTGATAAACCTGGCATTGTATATTACGAATATTGTTGCTTTTTGTTTTGTAAGTCACTTTGGAGAAATGCATCTGCTAAGTGCATAATGTAAATGCAGTCCACTTTATTTCTCTCTCTGTCTTGATTTAAACCCAGTAACCCATTAAAAACTGCTAATGCAATCAATTCTGTGAACAAATAAATGAATGAGGTCAAATACTCTTATGCACTAAAATGCAGCAGGATCTGTATGTCAGATATTTTAGTGTGTTTGTGAATCTTTCTTTACAACTCAGACTGATATTTTGTTACCTAATGCTGCAGTGACATTCAGAGATTTTAGCGTGGCTTTGGAGTCCAAATATATTTCGGGGCCGCTGTGGGGCTGGAAAAACAACTCTGTTGTTGGAAAGAAAGGTCGCAGGCTGTGTTGAGTTGACGTCAGAGTCACTGCCATCATAAACACGGACAAAACACACACACACACACACACACACACACACACACACACGGACACATGTACACGCTGAGAGCTGTGAGGACCAGACTACAGCTGAGAATTATTGTTAGTTGTTAATAATATATAGAATTATTATTATTGTTGTTGTTGCCAACAGCTTTTGAATTTGCTCATCAATCTTTGCCTTTGCAGGTTTGTGTGTTTGAGTCAGCTTTAATATTCAGTTTTATAAATATATATACTCTTGTCTGAATTTTAATTTATATTTATGAATTTACAGTGAATTTACATATATTTGCAATCTTTACTATTAATAGCACTAGTGAATAATTATTGAAACTTTTACAGCAGCAATGTTTTGATTTTGAAGCAATAAATGCATAGCATCAAAAATAAATTTGTTACAAGACATCAACATTATTTAAAAAATAAAAAACAATAATTGGTTGTATATATTAAAATTGTAGTTGTTTTTAAGATGTTCATGTATATTATGTATTATTGCAGCCTAACAATCATTTCGTTATTGTGTCAAACATATCAATTATGGAAAAAATATATTTTGGGAAAAATATATAGACGTTTTATATGTAAAATTCTATTCATATGTGTATTCTGACAATAAATTTGAATGTATTATGATTTTATATGTATTTTAAATTTTTTAAGTCACTCTTAATAGTAATAGAGCCAAATTAATGAACCTTTTATGGAAATTCATTTTGAAGCATCAAAACAAAGAATTGAAAATTAATTTGTGAACATTTAGAACAAATTTTAAATTCATACATATTTAATCATTATTATTAAGTTATGTATTTCAAATATTATTTAAAAAATAATAATTATATATATTTTTATATATGCTATTATCGCTGTTATATATTAAGATATAAGATATAATATTTAGTTATATTATATAATACATAGTTATATTAAGATATAACATATATGTTAAGATATATTAAGCTGTATAAGAGGAATGTATTCATTATGTATGTATGTTATATATTCATTGCTGTAGTCTAATGATCATATAGTTATTATGTTAAACAGGGCTGGGTTGTGCATATACATTATGGGGAAAATAGTGTGCGTGTACTTGCATACATTCAAATATACATCACGTCAACCACCGAAGTGATTTCATGTCTTGCATACTAAGTTTGAATGACGTGTCAAATGTCTTTCCATCACTTTCCATCTCATCACTCTAATGTTTTATGTTTCTTTCTCTCCGTGTCTGCAGTCTCCACATGTATGACCTCCTGTAAGAGGGTGGCTCCGCCTCCTGTTCCCCCTCGAACCACCTCCAAACCCTTCATCTCCGTCACCGTGCAGAGCAGCACCGAGTCCGCGCAGGACTGCTACCCCGACCGCAAGAGCGAGGTCAACAGCCAATCAGGACGCAGCAACTCCTCGGACAGCCTCGACAGCCTGGCCAAAGGGTCACGACCACAGCTTCCTGTAGCGCCGCCCCGTGTACCCCAGGCCGTGGTCATCTCTCCCAACGCGCTCCGAGAGTCCCATCATATGACTCTAATGTTTTATGTTTCTTTCTCTCCGTGTCTGCAGTCTCCACATGTATGACCTCCTGTAAGAGGGTGGCTCCGCCTCCTGTTCCCCCTCGAACCACCTCCAAACCCTTCATCTCCGTCACCGTGCAGAGCAGCACCGAGTCCGCGCAGGACTGCTACCCCGACCGCAAGAGCGAGGTCAACAGCCAATCAGGACGCAGCAACTCCTCCGACAGCCTCGACAGCCTGGCCAAAGGGTCACGACCCCAGCTTCCTGTAGCGCCGCCCCGTGTACCCCAGGCCGTGGTCATCTCTCCCAACGTGCTCCGAGAGTCCCATCATATGCAGGTGAAGGGGGAGGCGCTCGCTGCGGACGAACCCCCTGTAGACCCCGTCCCGAGACGGAAACTCTCCTCCATTGGGATTCAAGTGAGTTTACTGAGCTCAGGCTGTCACACACTTGAATATGAGTGGATTTTAGGGTTGCATACCTTCATTAAGGGGGTCATAAGACTAGGGTTGGGTATCGTTTGAATTTGATCAATTCCGATTCTTATCGATTCCCAAAAACATATGAAGAGTGCATTTGCAAAAACAGATAAACTCCGTTTTTAACAATTCTCAGAAATCATGTTTTTTCATTGTGCGTTCCAATTAATCTCAATCAAACTTTAGTTGGGTTATTT